GCGAACCTCTCAGCTACAAAATAACCTAACCACTGCACAGTGCTGTCCCAAATACAATTATAATGCTTCTATTATAACGAAAAGTGGGCGTGGCTCTGCGTACGTAATATCACGCCCGCAATCACACATGCATGCTATAATTTTACAACTACTATTGTAGTGTCGATAGACGCTATATAGGGTTGGCATGGGTCAAATCTCACGTGATCCGCGTATATACAAAACTTTCGAGAATGACTCACTATGCCTTCAAGATACGCTAGCAAAAGTCTAAGGGCCTGTATCTAGTAGCTATACATGTACCCAAAGACTTCATGTTTAATCGATCCTGTTGCTCTGTTAAGCACAGTCAACAGAAAGCAGAGTAGTTTAGAGGACTTCTTTAGCGTTGAAAACTATCTGTGCCTTGCTCTATATGTGTGTGTGTTTGTCATTGTATACTCTTCATATATTTGATACCTCTCAATTAAGAAAAACCTCTGAATAACGAGAAAAATTTGCCGTCGTCATATTTTCATTATTTGGAGGTCCCATTAGGGTTTGCGAATCCGTTGCCATGCATGAGCGTGGGACACTTAAACCATAATAGAGAATAACAAAACAAATTATTGTGACATTAGATGCTGGTCCAGATTGGTTTGTCTGCTGAGTACAAATGTAACATGTCTAGTAAACATCTCAACGTAAAACTCCTTGTGTGTCTTTCCAGAGGAGTTGGCCTCTAGTAGTGACATTTATGTATATACATAATCTCTCTATCCTTCCGCAGGCTACAACACTCCCCACAGTGGTATCGCCTCGGGGGTCATGACCCCTGCCGACCTTGACCTCCCTCTCGACCTCGAGGCTTTTGACGACTTCCCGGGTGGGAGTGGCTTCCAGGAACTGCCTCCTATGGCTTCCTCCCAGCCTCCCCCCGTCACTGCCATTCCTCCCACCATCACCACGTCACAGCAGCCCCAGCAGCACACCCATCACTATCCTCCCCAGCCTCCCATCCAGCCACAGCAGATGGTCAACCTACAGCAAGGTCAGCATACAGGTTGACCCCTGGGGAATGACACAGACAGTTTGTGCAGATGTGTGTGCATAATAGTCTGGGTATGGATCATTGAATGGTAATATGTACAGTGGAACCTCCGAACAAGGGACACTATGTGGCCAGCAATTTTGTCCCTTTTAGAGAGGTAGTCCTCATCCCAGAGGTCAAATAGTACACTAAGGTATTTGCATAGGGTTGAAACAAGTTTCCTTTGCAGAGAGGTCATCCCCATCTCTTATCAGAGGTTCCACTGTAGATAGATAGTTTTACTAACAGATAAGCTGCAATATCATGTACAAACCGTCCCTTGTGCATAGTGTAACCTTTTCTCTTTCTCTCCTTCTCTATCTGTGCTCCAGGCTATGGCTCCAACCAGAGCTACAACCCTCCCTCTCCTGCTGTCATGGACACCTCAGCTCCCGGTGGACCCTGGTTCGACCCTGACGTCTGAGACAAACGTACACAAGAATAATATTTTTGAACTGTCGTAATAATATTGTGTCACCAGCAGATACATAATTTCCACGGGGTTCACATGCCTCATAACTCCTCAGAGACTATCATGTTGTATGCCTAAATTGAGCAACACTCTTCTACACTGTGTCATTGTCGATTATTGGTTTTGCAACTGCTCCGTTTCATGCACACGTACGTTGTATGTGTGTGTGATGTGAACTACAGTATTGCACATTCCTGTGTGTAAGTGCATGTGTGTAGGTGGTGAGTCGTTGATGCTGTGTATGCGGTGTGAACACACAGTCATGTACATGAACTGTTTCAACCCCGACATCTGAGAAAAAAACTCGAAGAAAATATTTGTGCAATGTTGTGTTGCCAGCGGATACACAATTTATACGGAGTTCAAATGCCTCAAAGCTCTATATTATATAATTATACTGAGTTCAAATGCGTCAAAGCTCATGCGCATGCGCATTAATGTAAATTCCTTTCCAACATGCATTTTTAACCCTCGGTGTGCATGCGCAGCGAGCTAGGGTTACTGTAGTTAATTGTCGTGCAGTGCATGCCAGTGTCCTGCTCTCATGTCATGTCATGTGTATTTGTGTTATGTTTTTTTATGGATATTTTGGGACTTGTGGATATCACTAAGTACGGTAGTACTTAGTATAGGATTGACATGGTACCTAGCATCATAGATGTATGGGGCTATGATAGGGAGTTTTGTTCTTCTTCTTCTTCTTCTTCTTTGACCAGCGTAACTCAAAAACCGAAAGAGATAAAGCCATGAAATTTTGTAAGAATGTGCATTCTTTATCACACCACACTGCCAATGAATGTGTTTGCTCCGATATTATACCAAAATGTTACCACTACATGCATGACCAGCAGAGGGAGTCCATATTTACTACACACACACACATTATAAATAGCTAGATATGAGCCCCTGACTGATTTTTTGTGTATTTTGCTGGCCTAGCTAGGCGTTCTCGCCGAGTTTCGAGGCATTTTGTAAAGCGGATCACGTGAGATTTCACCCGCGTCATACCTATGTACATAGAGTGTCTACCGACGCTCTGATGCACATGGCATAGACCATATACCTGCCATTTTCTCACGAGTAGCACATCTTGATGAGTGAACCTCAATGTGTCAGTTACTTCATAAATGTACTCTCACACCATGCAGACAGAGGGGTGTGAAATAGTGGGTTGTCAGTCTAAACGTGTGCACATCTCATGACTCCAATAACTGACACCTGCATTCTTTATCACACAACACACATTGTGAATAGCCTTTTCTTTGTTACACCCCTTTCCTCCAGGTTTTATCACAACAGAGGAATTCTCTACATGTTTTTATACAAGTCGAAAAATTGTTTCTTCAAAATGTCGGGGGATATAGGGATACCTCAGGCATGAAAAAGAAAAGAACAAGGGGTCATTACAGAGCTATGACACACGAAGCTAAATGACACCATCACTATTTTGTCTGGTCGTACTTTTCCCATAAATAAAGAGAACAAGGTGATTGTATCATGTACATTTGTTTGTCTTAGCTGTATGTATGTATATGACCCATTGTTTTTTCCTTTTTGCTTTTATGAACAGCTTTGACTAAAGGCCTTTAAACTCATTGCGCGCGTTAATGCGCATGCGTGGAATTACCGCGTCCGCGTGGTTTTTTCGAGTTCGTGCGTGCCGTTTTGTTTGCGTGTTTATACTTGGTGTAGGCCCGCAGACGAAGCCCAGATTCGTTCTTCGTGTGTTAGAAAGCCTAGTGTCATCTTAGAGCCGCAAGGAGGCCACGTTTCCATGGCAGATCTGCATTCATCGCTCTTAGACGCGTATTATACGCGCGGAAGGTGGGGCAGCTGCTGCGCACACCAGCCCCGCCTTTTATTTTGTACATGCGCAAACTGTGCGCCCACTCAAAGGTCAAAGGTGTAGCAAGGTCTGGCTGTGCCAGCGACTAGCGACGGCAACTAGGACGAAGAGAGTAGTGAGTGTTCCTACGCGTCTATATATATGCCGATCGCGTTGGCTAACATCCGCGTAACGAATCTATATATAGATCCGCCGCGCGCAATGAGTTAATTACTAAGATCACTCTGACGTACAGTAAAGGGGTTGACATGGACACTGATTGACCACCACCTGACAGAGCACGTGCAACGCAAGCAAGCGTGATTGGTTGGGGAGGCAGGACACAGCACAGTAGGTTATACGATGGCGGCGCGTGGTTTATGGTTTGTACAGGTGGCAGTCGATAGGCACGAGGCTAGTCTGCGTCGATTATTCCAGATAATTTCGGGAATAATAGGTCCCTCTGGGATAGAATAATTCAAGAATAATAGGTTGAAGTTTCAGCGAGCGACGAGCGGAACTCGCGGAAGGGCGAGTGCGGATGGACACGCGTCACGCGCACGAGTGGTCAAACGGAACGACTCGATCGGACAGAATCAGGATAAAAACCACGTGGTAGCGTGCCAGAATGGCCCAAGGGCGCGCCGCCGCCGTGGTCACGTCATGTCATGCGATAACATCATCGATATCTGGATGGCGCGCGCGAGTTGGGGGACGTGCCGACTTTTCCGAGCTCAGCCTAAGTGCATACCTACCAACCTGCAGATAAGCTTTGCTGAGAGATTGGATTGCTGTGTCTAATCAAAAATTAATGTATGGATCCATCACAGCGATAGCACTGGATGGTTGTATGTAAGAGCATGGCGAATGCAGGCTTTTTGGGGAGCGAGAGCACTCCACGAGCAGCATCCTAGCTATTAGTAATATCTCTTCATTAGCATCGCAATTGCTGCTGAAATAGCACGTCTATCAAGCTATTACTACACTAATTTGGTGCACTTAGTCTACAGAGCCATTCTGGCACGCTAATGTACTGTAATCTATGAGCCATTCTGGACGGGAGCCATCCTGGCACGCTACAACCACGTGGATAAATGGCGCTGGCTTCCATCGGGTGATGTTTAATGTTTAATTTATGTGCCTGCTCTGCATAGTACTGTTTTTTCATTTCAAGCAGAATATAGGTAAAATTTCTGTGATAATGGGTAAACTTTAAGAATAATAGGCATATGAGTAGGAATTCAGAATAGAATATCCGGAACAAATTGTGGGAATAATAGTCTCAGGCCTAACGAGGGCGCAGCCGAGTGGTCTATCAAAACTGAAGCCACGAGTGTGCAACCACAATTGTCGCTCAGGAATGCAGCTGACGTAATGTGTTATGCAATAGTGTACACGCGAACCACCTATATACACACCTGTTCTGTTTAGCGCACAGCTTGTTGTGTGTAGTAAACAGGCGCACGATCCACGTTGAAGGCCAGCGCATGCCAGTAGCGCAAGAAGAAATGATATGCCTCTGTTGTGGAGAGGAGATCGTAGGAGACTGTGACAGGAGAAATGTGGGAAGTGCTTCCTCGATCTCTTTCACGGGTATACGCAATTACGTAAACTATTGATATTTAGCTACTGTCACATACTGGCACACAACCTATAGCTAAAGCCGAGGGGTCCGAAACAGGTGGAAATCTCGTACGCTTATGGTCATAAATCCATAGAAATCAGTTGGAAATCAGGGGAAATCAGCGAAAAGTGGAAATCAGAAATCAAGTTGCCGTGCGCGCCGCTTTTCTGCTCTGTATAGCTCCGTTCACTATAGTAAACTACAAGGCCGACCCTGCTGCAGCGCGCGCGCACGCGAGTCACTCGCTCAGGCCGGCCGCCCTCGACAGTATTATTGGCCTCTGACGCATGACTACTGTTCGTGACAGTAAAGGGAACTCTTTTGGGAGTGTACAGATATAGAACCCTCGAGAGACCGAGAAATAAACTTAGAAATCACTGGAAAATCGGGTGGAAATCAGTAGAAATCAGTTGGAAACCACGGGCTTTTGGAATTCTCGTACGTCGTAACAGCCCGTTTCGTATAAGAAGCTTTGCAAACAAACCGCTTTCACGATGGTCGCAAAAAAGCGCCTTCGCCCACACACGTAGATTTACATAGTCCCATTATGGAAAAATATTGTTGGTGGAATACTCCAAGAGGAAGCACATCTTGATTACTTGATCTTAGCAGATCTTACTTGGTCTTTCATAATTGCCGTTAGAGGAGTAACGATAATGGAGCATTCGTCAGACTCATAGTACTCGTAAATGTATGGAAGTGAAGCAAAACACTGGAGGATGAGAGTTCCTCTGCAGGCATCCTGGCTTTGTCTCGTGAACCTGGTTTACGAGCGAGACTAATATTGCGCGCGCACCGCATTGGAAAAAATCAACGCTTCAACTGCTTCTGGTTAACAGATAGGGGGTCTGAAGAAGAAGATGATGGACACAAAAATCATTGTGGGTCTTAGAGGTCCCAAAAATCTGGTTGCTCTTAATTAAAAGTGATTTTTCTTTTACTATACACCACGTTTAGTTCTGAAAACCTCGAAAGACTTTTCTAGCTCTGTGGCTTCTCGGCATGCCGAATTACACTTCCTTCGTCACTGGTGTAGTGGTGCTGGAAAATTCTGAATAGGTGCCTTTTCTTCACTACAGAGGTTGCAGCAGTGTCACAGACAGTTGGTTCTCTAGCCTTATTCGAAAGAATTCAGGATTGTCACTGTTGTAGTATTGTGCTTATAAAATCGCATAAGGTCTAACACGTGCAAGTGCGCGAGTCATTGCGCGCCCACGCCCCCCGGCCCTCGATCCTGCTCTCAATCCGCGTACGCCGCCAGGGTGGTGGTGGGTGGTGACGGGCGCCAGTAAACGGGCCTCTACAGGTAAATGCGCGCGCGGAGAGGGTATAAAAACACGCCGATCCATGTTTAGAGGTTACGTTTGTGAAGACGCCTAACCTCGGAAGAAGGTAAACTAAGTATATGACGCTCACGGCACGTATATACTGCACAATATCTGCCCACGATACGAATACCTTGTGTTGTCTAGAGTTGTGTATAGTTAGATGGTGTGTCCCTAACTTTATGTTGCAAGTTAGATGCATTATAAATTTATGATGCAGGATTTTTTTAACCTTTCATGTGACTGCTACTCGTCGTACTAAGGTCAGTATAATTATAGCTATCGTATTGATGTAACTCGTTGATGGAAAGTGTTGTTGCTTACAAGACATTTATGTATAATGGCTGAGCGAGTAATCACTGTTCCGCTGTGGGAGCTGGTGGGGGCGGCCTATATACGTAGCTACGTCCGCGCTTGGACAACAACCTCCATGTGACGACTTTAGAACTGAAAAACGGATTCTCGAGTGAATTGTAACGTTGAGTCCTTAGCTACTCACAGTGACTGTGACATCACTAGCTACATGCCCACCAAGAAAGAAATGGTCTGGTCCAACAAACAAGTATAGCACAGCTACGTACCGCCAAATGAATTCGGGCGATGCAGGCAATGTGAGACTACACGCTTAGTGCACAGCAGGCGTGTGGCGTCAGGGAGCTATTCCACTCACATCCTTCATGTGATGCTACCTAGAGTCAAAACAACCCTGGGATAACCATTGAAAATTCTCAACACAGAACTGAGAATCTCGGCCTGACCGCGCCCACCGGCTTCTCTGCACATAACGCCATTCGCTGGCTGTAGCGCGCGTGATGTCATAGCTAATACTACAGTAGGGAAATCGCTGGATCTTCTACTGCCCTAATCAACCAATCGTAACTTTTTGTGACTTCGACCGAGACTTCAACGG